ACTATGGTCAAAATGTTTGCATGTTTCACCAGGTGACGGGTGGCTCATTGATTTTCCATCAGCAGATCTAGTACCATGTCATGTCATGTAAAGAGCTGTACGCATAGAAGCAAACAACCTCTGAAGTCGGGGTATGGGCGGGAAGTAAATGAGACTCTTGTATAGAATATTTTCTGATTTTTACGTTTTCCCCTTTTTTGTTTGAATTTATAAGCACCACAAAATCGACATTTGTTCTCAACTACATCAGCCTTGTTATATATTATGCAGTTAACACAGTAATCTATCTTCTCGGATAATAACTCTTAACTTTGAGTTCTATACAAACCATCCAGAACTAAATTCTCTATAGGGTTCGTCTCCTTCAATAATGGTGTTACTTGATTGAATACTTCTTTAGGCAATGACTCATTGAATTAGCATCAACAAATCCATCGTGCTATGTGAGAAGTTGTATGCATAAAAGCGAATGGCCTTTGAAGTTGGGGTATTTCATGACATATTTCTTCAATGACAAAGAAGGACAACGATCCTAGTGTTGGGCTACTTATGTACTTATGTTGAGATGTTCAATTGTGGGACATTGTTTGTCCAAGTGGATTTGTTGTCCGCCAATGGCTTTTTGTTAAACATCGCCTTCGACATTTCAAAGCTTGTTTGTTCTTAAACTCTTGCATTCATTCATTCATAACTCCAATAATGGAGTGCTATTATGAGTGTGAAATTTGTAAATAGGATAGTTTAGATGTGAAATTTGTAGTATAGAGAGTTTTGAGTGTTATGATTTAGATCCCCCTAAAACTTATTATGAATATTGTTAAAAACAGCAGCAAGATTATTTTATTTCATTTGCTTAGTTGTATTGCTAATAAAGAACCAATAAGCTAAGGTGTTGAAATGAGCTAGAGGTTATGATGAGTTGCTAGGCCATTTTCTAGTGAATTTATCATGCCATTGCTTCACCCCGCTATGGAGTTTTGCGGTAGGATCATAGGACGGAAGGCATAATTGCTTGTGCTACCCCCCTCTCTTTAAATCGATATGGGACAAAGACGGGTATGATTTAGTTGATTGAATATATCTTATAAACACATTTTGATATTCTACTTATCAGAATAGAATCAGTAATAAACTCAATTACCCAAATTCATGCAAAATAGCACATTCCACTTTATTACAATTCACACATATTCAATAAATTAACCAATCAAATTAAGCAAATGCATTCTGAAACATCACATTTTTATATCTACAGAACATCTAATATGCATCAATATTCTTGCAGAAAACATAAACTTCATTTGGTATATTACCTCAGTATCTTCTATCCTATAGCAATTACATAATAAAATATGATCAAAAATTTGAATTTAGTTCTTATTAAGCCTCATGTATTTTTTCATTTCTTGTAAAACAACTATAATAATCTAGTGAGTTATGAGGCTCAACAAGATAAATAATTCTAATATAGAATTAAAATACTCAAAAATAGTATCATGACTCAACCTAATCATAAAATTGAGCATATTTGATTAGTACATCACTATAACATTTGAAATTAAAATTTGGTTACATAAACAATATTATTAATATATTTGAATTAAGGATTGACAACAATATTTTTCAATACATTGTCAATTAATGTTCTAATTACTTACATGTTAGTTTGATTACATCAAATCATTCATTTGCTTATTTATTTTTCGAGGCATTGTATTTTGCTTTAGCTTTAGAATATTTCATGTATGATTGTCTAAGTTTATTAAGGCATCACAAGATAGTAGTAAACCCACGTTATATAAGATATGATATAAATCTAGCCCGGAAGTCAAATCATAAAGTTCAATAGAGTACAGGTGAAAGCTAGTATTATCGCTATGTGACTGCTAACATGAGATTTTTTAAGTTCATCATATTTTCATCATTGAAATATTAAATAAACATGTAATTAATTTTCATGTACTGAATAATTGTATGCATATATGAGCAATTTTGAGATACCAAATACCCTCATTTAAAAGTGCTACTAATTATAAGATATTTGTTTAATTGTGATATATTTAACTGTAATTTTATGCCATCTTATGTATGGTCATTTATATTTGAGTAATAAAATGTAAACATGTATTCTATAATATGAGGAATGTCTAATGTATTGCAATCATAAGTGTAATTTACATATAAATGCACATGCAAAAAACTAAAAAAAAAATCATGTTTGTATTGAAATTTACATATTTTACTCATATGATGCCCAAACTCATCCAATTGAAGTATTGAACCTTTGTTCTTTTTGACGTAATTCTTTATCAAATTAACTTGAAAATGCACCATGACCCCAAAATTATTTCTCACGCAAGTCTTAATACATAATCACCTCGAATTGAAGTAATTAGGTTGGAGGAAAACATGAAAAATAAGATTTTTAACTTACCTAATTTCTTTCCAGTCTTACCTCTCTTTTTCCCTTCCTTATCTCCCTCTCTTCTTCTAATGTTTTTCCTCCTTTCCTCTCTGGTTTTCTTTTCCATCAGTTCCTTGTTGCCAGAATCATGAGTGTATGCCTTAGGAAGACATTTTATGAATTAGTGTTTAGCTTATATCTAATATGTAAGTATTTACATATGTTTGTTATTTCCTTAATAAAGTTTCAATCGTTTCCTGAGGTATCAGCTATTGCATGCAAAGCAAAGTATAAAACCCGAAATTGCACTTCCCAGGTAATGGTGGATGAACAATAATATTAAAAAATAAAATGGAAATTTTTTCTCAAATGGAAATTAATTTCATAATTCTCATGTCTTTGAGAATTAACATATGCTTCTATGCATTAAAATGATCCATTTAAAGTGCAGTTTGAAATCTTGGGATATAATTTTGTTTGAGTGTTTTGCATTTATGCCATAGAAAATATTGCGTATGACAGTGATTCTCTTATTAGAATTTTGTCCTCAAAATTCGCCTCCCGCAATATCAACTCGGTGCGGGAAATTCTATCATATCATTTGTTTCCCAACTTTTTTTTCCTTATTTGTGCTTCCATCTCACTTTACAGAAGAGATCTAAGATCAAAATCTTCTATTTTTTTAATTCTTTCGTACAAATCAATCTTTTTTGTACTTAATTTTATGATGCAGTACCTTCTATTTTGTATTAGTAACTCATTTTATAATCATTACAATAACAACAACAACAAAGTCTTGATCCCACTACGTAGGGTCGGCTACATGAATCCTTTTTCTCCATTGCGTTCTATTTAGTGTCATATTTTCACTTAGTTCTAGTAAATTAAGATCATTTTTAATACAATAAGCCCAAGTTTTCCTAGGTCTACCTCTGTTTTTCTTAACACAAGTCGAATCAAAAACATCTACTCTTCTAATTAGATCATCAGATGGTCGACGTTTAATGTGACCAAACCATCTAAGACGACTTTCTCTAATTTTGTCCGTCATAGGAGCTACACCAACCCTATCATGAATATATTCATTTCGCATTTTGTCTCTAAGTGTAAAGCCACTCATCCACCTAATTATTCTCATCTCGGCAACACTTAACTTATTATTATGCTTCTCTTTTAAAGGCCAACATTCAGCGCCATAGAGCATTGCAGGTCTCACCACCGTCTTATAAAATTTTCCTTTCAGTCTAAGCGGTACTTTTCTATTACACAAAAGGTCTGAAGCATTCCTCCACTTCAACCAACCAACTTGAATTCTACTATTAACATCCACATCTATATCACCATCGCTTTGAACAACGGACCCAAGATATCTAAATCGTTCACACCTTTTAATAATTTGATCACCCAAAGTCACTTCTGTCACTAGAGCTATTACTACTAAAATTACATTCCATGTATTCAGTTTTAGTTCTACTTAAACGAAGGCCTTTAGACAACACAATGATCAAAAGGATTCATGTCATGATTTTTTTTCGACAAGTTTTACGCTGGTTGTCGACTACCTAACGCAACCCTCCACTTTTCGCATCCGGGCTTGGGGCCGGCAACGGCAGTGTTGTCCAAAATATAAAAAATATTGTGCACATGAAAAATTTGTGGGTGCAATTCTAATCTATATGCAGCCTTTTTAACTCAATAATTTCAAATGGTCCAACATATTTGAGACTCAAATTCCCTCTTTGGCCATATCTACATAAACTTTTCATTGGCCTTGCCTTCAGGAATACAAATTCAACCTCTTCAACTTCTATCATTTTATGCTTGGGGTCATAATATTTTTATTTATGATAATTCTAACTTTCTCAGTAACTTTATCATGGCCTCAATAGTTTCTCTCCGGTTTCAACCTATCTCAGTAGAGTTCTAGATTTTCTTTGGCACAATGCCTAATATGTTGCCATGTTAATGTTGGATTGGTAGTTATTATTGTATGAATGAATGTGATCCTACTAGTTACCTTCAAAATCCAAGCCACATAATCTCAACAAATCTTCAAACACATGAGTAATTCTTTCTGATTGATCATCTGATTATAGATGAAATGTTGTACTGCAGTGTAATTTGGCATCCAAATCTTTATGAAAACCTCTCTAAAATATTGATATAAATCTACCATGTACATATGATATGATGACTTTGGGAATTCCATATTTTAGTAACATAGTGGCCTGCCTTTTCTCATTAAAATGTAAAGTCTTTGATCTCATTTTTATTGGGTTTAATTTTATGATTTGGTCCATCTAATGTTGATTTCATGTTTTGTGCTCAAGATTTTTTTGTCACTATTAAATATCTAGAATAAACTATGCTGAATGAGAATTCTCTTTCGCTCAATATAAATTTGAATCTCTTGTTGAGTTCCATTAATAAAGAAAAATTTAAAGCTAGTCATTTACTAATGCTACTTGTCATATTGACAATGTACAGTAGATGAGAAATTTGTTCAAAATATACCGAATATTGTCTGTATGATGTATTATTGTTGAAGGAGATACTCTTCATCTCTTCCTAAAAGCTGAAATTTATTGCAATGCAGGTTGTTAAGACTCTTGGATCAGCGTTACAGGGGAGTTGCGGTTGGGGTTGGCCAGTCAGAAATATTGGGTCGCATACATGTTGCTCCAATCAAGGCATGATTCTAATTATTATTTATTCATTATAATCACTTACAATTCTAAAATTTCGCCCTGCAATTTTTTAGGAACGTTTCACTATGGACTTCAACTTTTGGCACTTTTGTCGTTACTCTTTAAATTAGTTGTCTAAATCATTCAAATAATGACTTTATCATGATCAATATGTTTTCTCTCTTGTACATATATGAATTCAACCGATAGGGCTACCATCACCATTCTTGTGCATGTCCTTTGTCCTCTTTATACTAGTGCTGTTTTTCAATTTTCTAAGGTCTAGTGTTTCATTCTGTTCTGTATTTGCTGTAATTATCCTTTTCTTTACTACAGTTTATCTTTCGTTCTATATAATTGCTAAATTCTTTTAAAATCTATTACCTTATAATTGAGCTCTCCATAATTGAAGATCTATATTTTACATGCTCTTCATACTTTATATTTAAGTTCTCCATGATTATTTTACCCACCATCACACTTTCCAAAACTAAAACATTTTTTGAAATGTCAAAATTTCTCTTCAAAGGGAAGTTTGCACGTTAATTTAGCATTTCTATTAGGTTGGCAAACTTTAGTTTCGTTTTACTTGGGCCTCCTTTTTCACAGTTTAATAATGTACTTCATAGTGAAAATTGTCATTTTGAAAGCTATTTAACGATATTAGCAAGTTTATGAATATATCGTAGCTTTGCAAATCAATTTGAGCATTCTGGATATTTCGCACACTTTTCTCGTATGGATGTAGTATTCTTCTCTTCTCGGCATTAGATATTACGCCATGCATATGAACAGGCCAATATTTAAATTTATTTGGAGGCAACTTCATCCTATGGTGCTGATATTGTCTTGGCAGATTGGTCATTTGTTTTTCCCCTGTTCCTTTACTGTGTTGGATGCTCCCAACATGGAGTTTCTCTTTGGTCTTGACATGCTAAGAAAGCATCAGGTAACTATTTGAAATGCTTGATATCTGATACTTTTAGCCTACTATGAATTTGATAATAATTTCATGTCCTGCAGTGTATAATTGATCTGAAGGAGAATGTATTGAGAGTGGGTGGTGGAGAGGTATCTGTGCCATTCCTTCAAGGTTGATAATCTATTTCCTTTGGACTAATTTCAGTGAAATGGATTTCTTTTTGCATCAGATTCAAATTATTTTTTTGACTTACAATGATAAATGTTACAATAAATTCTATTCTTTTATATTTTTTTGCAGAGAAAGATATCCCTTCACATATTCTTGATGAAGAAAGACTGAAGCAGGCGTCTCTTGGCCTGGGAATTAATCCAGTTGAGTTTTGTTCTTTCTCAGGAACCTCTTGCATTTGATTTTTTTTGTTATTCCTTTCCTATTTCTTGGGTATTAATGCAACTTAAAATCGGTTTGGAAACCATGGTGACTGATTTTTCTACTATACCATGCTTTCAATGGAATGCCTTAAAAGCATTTGTTCTTCTTTCTATTTTCATTTCTCGCATTGGTGAAGTTGAATCAGTCTGCATTTCATGCAGGCAATTTCTCTTTATATAGGGTGATCTTAGTTTATAAGAAAATTTGTTCCTTGTTAATAATTCTTTTATGGAAAAGGGAAATTGTTAAGTAATCAGAAGAGGATTCAAATGGAAGATTTTTTTTTTAATATCATTGAACGGTAAGTTGAGCATTTTGAGCAAGTTTCTTGCCCAATGTCAAATCAATAATGGAAATAGGTTCAGGTAGGGTTTTGGGTTTCTTTTTATTAATAAGATTAGCCATTTTGAAGACAATACACTATTTTGTATTGCACGTTTTATCATTGTTTTTTAATTAGGATTATAGGGATTTTACTATTTTTGCACTGTGACCGTTCTATTCAAACATAATTTTGAGAAGGGCAATTAAGAGTCATGTGCATTGCACGTGCAGTAAACTTTAAAATATTATCAAATGTTTGTTTTTCTGCTGACTGGTCCATTTGATGAAAAATACATCTATAACCATTTTAATATTTTTTTTTTCATAAAATGACTTATATTTGGCCAAAGTAATTTTGCCTCAACTAATATAAATGAACAGTTTCAATTTAATTTTTACTTCTATTAGTTTTTTTCTGTCACAGAATTGATTGAATGTCCAGTACTTTAACAATATAGACCTTTTCTTATACATCCCATATTTATTGGGTTACGATAACTCTTCTATTATTTTTCACAAATATTCTTGGAAAAGTTTCAGATATTGATTGAGTAAAAACTTTTCTTTTATTTTTTTATATCTTGACCTCCATGTGTTCCATAGGCACATGCAATCAAATGTGATGGAAGAAATGGAGAATAAATACAACTTCATGAGAAAAATGTGAAAAAATGTCTAAAACTCTTATTTCTTTTGCAAAACGTATTATCTTGATGAGTCCAAAATGTCAAAATGATTTATAAAGTCCCCTTTTTCTTGTTGTTACTACCCTACCTGGGAGTTTGGAATATCAATTCGTGCACGGACGGAGGAAGTACTATCAAGAGATTTTCATTGCTTAAACAAAAGTCATCCAAAATATAAAGAACCGTCTATATACAAAACTTTAATTTACAACATTTACAATTGATAGAAAATTAAAAACTGAAATGTTTAACTTTCTTCGTGGGCTCATTAGTGTTTGTAATCATAATCTCTAGTATCAAAATAGTCTTAAGGATCTTTTTTCGTAAAAAGATTTTAACAATTGCCATGTAAGTTAAACAACTAAGTTGGTAAAATATGTCTAAATTACATTAATTCACATTTTATGATATTTTTACAGTTTTATAAAAGTTGGAGATAGAAGACGACCTGCGTTCGTCGACTCCTTCACCGTCGTCATGTCTCGCTGCGAGCCGCGATCGTCGTCTCGTCTGCGTGGTCGTCCCGACCATTCGGCTCGTTTGCGTGGTTTTCTCACCTGCGCGGCCGTCCCGACATTTCGGCTCGTCTGCGTGGTCTTCTCGCCTTCGCGGCCGTCCCGACATTTCCGCTCGTCTTCATCGTCTCGGCTGTGTGGTTCTCCCCTCGCTCTCGTTCGCTGCAACTCTTCTGCGGCTTCGACAATTGTCGGGCAGAGTTTTTTTGCTGTGATTTCTGTGATTTGCTGTGATGGAGCTTCCTTCGTCTACGGTTGAACCTGAAAAAATCTCCTTTGCCCACATGGTGGGTAATTCTCAGAGGGAGACGGCGGTTGTCTTCCCCTCAAGTGATGAGGAGCAACGGGAAGGTGATTGCCCCTTTATTAAGATGAAAGCAGCATTTTTTTTCTTTGAGCTAGAAATTTCATCCTTTACTGATAAATTCAAGTTTGCTCTTATTGAAAAATTTCAGTGGGGACATCCACTTATGGAAGTTATTAGTAAAAGTTTTGATGATCTCAAATTAGCAGGAAAGTGGAAGTATGACTTATAGATGGGAGACACGTATTAATTCAATTAACTGTGCCTGAAAATTATACTGAGATTTTTTCCAAAAAATATCTCAACATTGCTGGTAAACCAATGAAGCTACTCAAGTGGTCCCTGATTTTGAACCCAAGCGTGAATCTCCTACTATACCGATATGTTTTAGTCTACCTAATCTTAAGCTGCATTTTTTTCACCATCAGGTTCTTTACTCTATTGGTGTCATACTTGGGGACCCTTTGAAGCTAGATCTACCCACTTTTAACCCATCCAGACCTTCTGTAGCCAGAATACTTGTTGAAAGAAATATTATTTTACCTGATGTTACCGAAGTCTGGTTGGGCACAACTCATAATGGATATTGGCAACAAATCGTCATGGAACACAAGAGTATAGACCTCCTTATTGTTCTCATTGTATGATGTTTGGGCACAATCTTGATAAATTCTATAAGCTTCATCCTAATTTGAAATCTAAAGATCAAGTGAATAAGAATGAATTTGACCCCGCTATTTTGGATATATTTGTTTCATCTGAAGAGAAAACTACCACAAAACAAGTTATGGTGTCTGAGTTAATCGCCCCTGTGGATCCTCCCTCTGAAAATACTATTTCTGCGATCGATGAGAAGCTAGATGACCCTGCTGAGCAACATACACTTTCAAACCCTCCTGAGCTGCAAGAATCATTAGGTGAAGAGGAGACAATTCATGTTTCACACACACTTGAACCTACAGTCGTTGCAACAGTTGACAATCTTTCTTCTGGTGCTCATTAGCTTTTATCTGCCCGACGTTCTGTTTACCAACACGATGATCAAACCTGTTTACCAACTCGATGATCAGATGAGCCAGTCTTCTGAGGAGGAATGACAGATCTATTCAAGGAAGAAGAAGAAGATTGGAGGCAAACTTCAGCTTGCGAACCTAATGAATGATACTTTGGTTACTTCGGTTACTTCGGGAAATGGCTCGGCACTCAACAATTTGTTATTTGGATCTCGCCCTAGAACTAGAGGCAGATAGAACTAGAGGCAGAGATAGAACTAAACTGGCTCGTGACTAGCTACTCTTTTCTGCGATTTTGGTACCTTTTTTTGGGGGTTTCCCTGTATCTTTTCTCTTTTGGGGTGTTTGCGTGTGTTGTATGGTATGGGTAGGGTGCCTCTATTGGGCCCTCTCATACAACTTTTATATATCTTTTCTATTTTAATAGATTTAGCCATTGGGCTTTTCAAAAAAATAATAATAATAAAAGTTGGAGATAGAATAATATAAGAAAATAAATAAGATAATTTTATCATTATTTTTATTTATTTCATATAAAACATCCGGAGAATTGTTGTCTATATGTGTACCAAATATGTGTATCAAAAGTACACCTTTCATAACCTTTTTCAGAACTCACCAAAAGGTAAGCAGTCATTTCCATTTTCATTTCTCTTTTACGTGCATAGATATGTTGCTTCTGTAGCCATTATCATATATAAGGGTAACTCCACATTTAAATATGCATGTGCATATATCGTATGTTATTATTGCCTTCTTTTATTCAATTAAGCATATGAAAACTTATGAAACTTGCATTTTAAAAGAAATACTAAAAAAAATAAAATAATTTCCTTAGATTTCAGAAATAAAATGAATTATTATAAAATAAAAAATATATTTACCCACCTGTTTATAGCAGCCAGATGCCTTTCCTCTTGTCAAGATATTACTTTGATGTGCTTATTATAATAGATTATATTTAATTCAAATTGATTAACTCTTATAATGCATATTATTTGATCTTTTAGCAACATTAATAGATAATTTTTAAAGTTCGAACAGGTAAAAATAATCTCCTACATCCAATGTTTACTCTAGCTATCTTTAACTCCTATTTAAACACTATTTTAAGAGTTTTTGGATATTAAATCTTTTCAACCTCATTGAAATTGTTGAATTCACCCCTATTTGTGATTAAACTAAGAAACTTTATTTTTATTAGTACTATTATACTTATAACAAAATATAACAATGTTTACAAAGAACTCAATACAAAATATTTTGGTAAGCTAATTTTCTAAAATCTTTCTTTTTAGCATTACATAAGACTGTAAACAATGATTGTAAGTTCTAATTAGGATTAAGTTTAACCTAATCTCACTCAAAACTTAAAAATTAAACGGTATTTCCTTATCTAGTTTCAGTTTCCTTTCCAAAATCTAAAAAAATTACCTCAATAATTCTAGAATTTTGATTTTAGGTTTTTCTAAAATTTCTTCATCAGTTCTCATAAATCATAAAAAAATAAAAATAAAAAATCCTACTTTTGTACTTTGAAATTCTTAAACTAAACATGGCAAAAACTTCTTTTTCTCGCTCCCTTGCTATTTCTAGTGCTTGGAGCACACAAAAGCTAGTCCGAGCATCTTACGCACCTAGGAAAGGATCTTGCTTGAGCTGCTCGACTGAAGGAATTGCTTGCTCGATCTCTCCTTTTCTTTTCCTCTTAGCTTACCTACACGCAGATGACGATGCTCATAAGACTTCACCTTCCAAGCACACGGCTTCACGAGCGCTTCTCCTACGAGCAGCACCATATAGTGTCTCACACTCGCAGCATTGTTGCCCTCACCTCCACTTCATTAACACATTTTTTGTTTTTCTCCTTTGGCTTATCTCCTTGCTTCGCACGCCACTCCCTCACCGTCGCCCACGTAGTATCCTTCCTCGCAATCACTCTATCTCTTGTGCTTTCTCTCTCTCTCTCTCTTTCTCTCTCCTACCTGAAGTGAAGGAGGGGATAAGAATCGATTTAGGGTCTGTTTGGGGTGGCTACAACTTGTTTAAAAGCTGTTGTGCAGCAGTTGCTGCGTAGAAATTGCTTTTAAATAAGTT